TGTTTGCTTGTGTTTTGAAGATGTGAGTTCTTGCCTTCCTTCTCCAGTTGCCATGCCTGCTGTCTGTGGCTGTGCCTTCCTGCCACGATGAACTCATATCCTTCTGAAACCACAATTGAAAATAAGTGACTTCTTTTATAAGTTCCTTCAGTCATGGTGTTTTATCATGTATTGAGATCATTATTTAATAGGTATTCTTCAATCTCTCCTTATAGTATCATTCTGTTCATGCGGGATATCACAGAAGCTTATTTTTTTATAAATTCACAAAACACAAGTGAATTGGAAAGAAGTAAAAAATCATCTATGTTGAAGATGGCAATGCTTTATAAGTAGGAAAGAAACCCCAGATAATCACATAGACACACTAAGTAAACAAATAAATAATAACCCAAACCTATTACAAATAATTGAGGAACAAAATGGTGTTTCAAAATACTACTAAGTTCAATATCTTTTTATATAATATTTTAAGCAACCAGAAAAAGAAATTAAATAATCTTATTTATAATATCATCAACAGAAAAAAATTAAAGATAAACTTAAGGGATCAAAAAGACTACTGAAGACTGCAAAACAAAATGTCTGTAATGGAGCCAGAAAGTGGTGGCACATGCCATTAATCCCAGTATTTGAAAGGCAGAGACAGGTGGATTTCTGTGAGTTCAAGGACAGCCTGGCCTACTGAGCGATTACCAGGACAGGATCCAAAGCTGCACAGAGAAACCCTGTCTTGAGGAGATGAAAAAAAGAAATTGTGTCAGTTGTTTTGTTGTTGCTGCTGTTTATATGGCCATGGCAACTTACAGAAGAAAGACTTTATTTTGGATTTTAGTTCCAGGTGTATGAAAGTCCATCATGACTAGAAGGCATCACAGCAAGGCATAGCAGCAAATACCATGCCTGGTGACAGGAACTGTATAGTTTAACCTGCTTAATTTCTACACCACTGTTAATAATGGTGTATGTACTGCCATTACAATATAACATTATGTTGTATTTGGTTATATATTTAGCACTGCCAGGAAACTCCCACTTTCTTAAATAATATGTTTATGCAAATTGTTTAACATCCTTTTGCTTTAGTTTGGAGTTCTTTTAGAAAGTATTGTGTGGGGAAATAAAGTGGTGATCAATGCCCTCAGCCCTTGTCTATCTTTATTTCTCTCCATCATTTCTGAAGTATAGTTTTGCCTAGAATGATATTCTTCCTTGGCATGTCAGTTTTTCCTTCTGGTGCTTTGAAATGTCTTATTAAATATGTAAGCAGTGATTTTAAGCTGGGAGAGGAGTTTTGTTTACATGCAACTAATCATTTTCTCTTATGCTTTCAAAATTTCTCACTGGCCTTTGAACATATGACTGCAATGTGTCTTAATAGATTCTTGGTTTGCATTACCGGTAGGAGCCTACCAGCTATCTTGAGTCTTGGTGACTACTTCATCTTGGAAATTTCCCACCATGTGTTTCTTCAAATCAGTTTCCAGAGTTCCCAACCATTCTCTTTCTGTCTCTCTAACCCCCTATGGATCCTCTAATATGTGTGTTTGTTTTCTTGACACTATCTCATTATTTCCTTTGTCTTTCTTCATTCTTTCACATTATCTTTCCGTTGTTCCCTCTAGGTAGGTAATTTCAAATCATCTGTCTTTAAACTTACTTGTTAACCTCTTGATTTATCAGCCTTGACCTTAAACCACCTTGCTGGATTACTGTATTTTCAGTTCTTTAGCTACTCAATTCTTTTATTTGATGCCTTGCTTTTAAAATCTTGTTTTGTCTGTATATGATTTTTATGACTTTAGAATACATTTCATAGTAATACTGAATTCTTTACAAGATAATTCCTGAAGTTCTGTTACTCTACAGCCAGCTTTGGGTAGCTTATTTTGATTCTTGCTTCATGCACACTTCCTTATTTCTTAATGTACATCACAATGTGTCAGGACTCGTAAGTCTGAACAACAACTTCTCCCAGTCCTTAAGGCCTGTGTCATATAGGGGAAGAACCTCACCAATAACTTTTGGTAGAGATTTGGGGATATTTAATACCATTGAGCTTGTTTAATTTCTTTACTCCAGTACATAGCATCCTTTCAATTTTGGTTTCTTCTCAGTAGTTAATAACCATTAGCTCCCCCTGGTGTCTGTCTATGACACTGCAAATTCTCTAAGTCTGCAAGGCAACTTCTCTATCTTCCTTGCTCTCAATGGCCATCAAGTATCAACTTCCTGTCACTATTCTGAAGTAACAACAACAACAAGACACCATTTCCTTGCAAATTATCTCAAAAATCTGAAGTACCAATCAGTTCTCTACTCGTCTTCCTTCCTCCTGAGAAAGATAACCACTCTGGGCTCACTACATGTCGTCAAAATCAGTCTTCGGATTGTTACAAAAGCTAAATTCCCTTATTGTAGATGCACTATGATAGAAGACTAAATGGAGTAGTTTTGTTTCTATTTTCCCTTTCTCTTTATGTTTCCTCATGGAGGGAAGTTTCCTCACTATACCTCTTTGACCTCTGACTCTAATGCTGAAAGGAAAATGAAAGACTGCAGTTCTGCTGAAATGCTAGGGACAGAGTATAGGCAGTGCTCACCCAGTGCTCTGCTTTGCTCAGTTTATTGGGGCCATCAGTCTCTCATCCATTCCAGGCCCAACATAATATGATAGAATCCCTGTGGGATATATTCTTAGCATACTGTGTCTGATGCTTCCTCTGGAGGGCAACATTTTTAGTTCCCTTTGATCCATAGATGCCATGTTGTGTCCCGCTTCATTATTCATAGGACTGCAGCCCAGATGCCCTGCACTATTTTGATTCTTGTTACTTTTCTGAATCTTAAAGAAGCACATTCCAATGCTAACTTCTATAATCTCCAATTTTATAATTTATTAACGAGTTGAGTAGAACAGTGCTTAAAAGCATATCCCTCTATTGGATGTTTTGAAAAGACCTTTTGAGCTACTTTTTCTCTTCAAGCTTTCCACAAATCCCACTGATCTAATTAGGGCTGAGTTACTTCACCTCATTTCCACTTAACTCCTTCGTTTCCTCTCTTTATAGTAAAAAAGAAAAGTCAGCTTAAAGTCCATGACCTATAGACAGCAGAATTTTTTCCTCTTTTCTGACTACCACACATCTCTAAAAGAGCAGAATCCAGCACATTGATTAACTAGAACAGTAATAGATACAGGTAAAATCACTGCCTTGATTAAGATTCAGTGTAGTTGAAATAAAACTGTCTGGATTTCAGCTTTAAAAATACTCGGCTAACTCGTTGTTACAAGACAATAAATATCATTTATCATTAGTGTGTCTTGGATGTACAATTGATTAGTAATCCATTTAATGCTTGTACTAGAATTTCTAACAACTGAAAGGAATCTTGTCCTCAGCACAAGTTATTTACCAAAGGCAGTCTAAGAAGTGAAGAGCTGAACACAAATCAATATTCAGGTTTCTAATTCCTTCATCCACTTGATATTCGTCTTAACATAGAGGTCTGATACTATTTCATTTAGAACTGTTATAGTTGTAATGCTCATCAAAAGAAGGTTCAGAGAAGAAAATTTCTTGGCTGATAAAACTGTGAAGTCTCAAGGCAACACAGACTTTATAGATGGTGCAATGCAGGCTCAATGACTGGAAAGTAGCAGCTTCTGCCTACCCTGGCTGGACTCTCTTCTTTGTGTCGACTTTGTTCTTCAGGTATGCCTCACCTGTGATGCCAGCTCTATCTCACATTCTCTTGTTTATGTTTTTCAAGTAGCTCTCTCCCATGTCTTTCCTGTCATTCCTATTGGGATCTTGTAATCACTAATGCTAAGGGGATCAAAAGACCTGACTGACCCAAGCCTACATAGTATGCTTCATCTCTGTGGACGGAGTAGAATATCCTTCCCAAAGGAGTAGGTTTGCTACCTCTGAATTTATAGCACTTTTGAGAGAGTAGGCAGTGACAAAATGACTTAGATGAACAAAATATAGTATGTCATGTTAACAACTGAGAACTACTTAAACTGCCTACTTCCTAAAAAGAAAAAAACAGACTTGTAATACCTTCAGATAACTGGGAGAATTACTTAGTTTTTTTTAGTACTCTTGGGTTGATGTTGCTCTGGAAGCATTATGTGAGGCAATATTACTAGTCTGAATTGATGCCTGGCTTTTACCCATGTGGAAGTAGGAATGTGGATGTGTAGCAGTTGGGAAGGAGGTGTAAAGGATGCTTAGCTTGATTGAGAAAGGTTAATTACATGTGAAATGAGGCTGGGATTCAGAGGATGTTTGCTCTAGATTCTGTGTAATGTTATATTAACACTGGGATTTTCTTTATTCTATTAACAAAATAAACTCATTTTGTTTGGTTTCATTTTACAGTTGCTTTAATCCCACTGAACATTTATAACTATTATTTAATTTTACTAAGCGGTTTGTGGATAGTAAAATACCTATAGAATTAAGCAACTGCAGGATATTAAAGACATCCGGTTCTTACAGAGATTTGATCTGCTAATTAGCCACACCAATTTCATGGATCATTGCATCTCACTTAAAATGTATTGTTATACGTTTATAATCTTTCCGTAATGAGCTTTTATTGAGTGCATAGGCCAACTTCTGTGTGATATACAAGAGAATCTCCCTTCCCCCAACTAAATAACATGTTCACAGCATAACACATTATGATAATATTCTATGGAAAATGGTCCTCTTGACATTATTAAATGGCGTACTTAGGATCACAACAGCAAATACAAACATACAAGGAAAGAAGAGCAAGAGTGTGCCCAGGGAAGCTCAAAAAAATAGGCAGGTAAAGGGGAGAAAAGGAATGCAAGTATTGATAGTCTATATAAACTTCTAGAGAACTCACATGAAAATCAAGTTTTCCTTCATTATCCAGTTGTTTCAGCATTCCTGTTATTTAAATGGAATAAGTTAAACTTTTGTGTCTCTTCAGCAGAAATACTCATTTTCCAAAATAACTACTGACTTTTAAAATATTTATTTTAAAGCAAAATGTACATCATAGTTTTCTGTAAGAAATCAAACTGAGCAAGCCACAGATGGCAAGCCCATAAGTCGCACTCCTCAGTGATCTCCACTCCAATCTCTGCCTCCAGGTTCCTGACTTCCTCTCAGTGACGAACTGTTACCTGGGAATGTAACATGAATAAATAAATAAAACATATCCTCCAAAGCTACTTTTGGTCATGGAATTTATGCAGCAATAGAAATCTAAATAACACAATTTGTTAAGAGTATTGTGCATTCTTCAACATTTTGGTGGGATAGTCTGTGGATAACCATTAAGTTCACTTGATCTACAAAGTTATTTGGTGACTTTTTTGTCTAGAATACCTATATATTGACTAGAGTAGAATATTAAATTCACCCCATTACTGTGTTAGTGTCAGTCTATACCTTTATAACCCACAGTGTTTGTTTCATAAAATTAAACATGTTGATGCCTAGTACATGCATACACAGAACTGAAATATTCTCTTGGTGGATTACTCCCTTAATCAACATTAAGTGACTTGCTTCATCTCTTCTAAATGATTTTAGTTTGAAGTTTATCTTGTCAGATTAGAGTTAGTATTAGTGTTGCTACAGCTGCTTGCTTGTTCGGCTTCTTTATTTGGAATACCTTTTTCTCTACTTTCATGAAACAATGTGTTTGTATTTGCCGGTGAGATGCACTTCTTGTAGGCAACAAGTGGGTGCATCCTGTTATGGTAATTCAATCTCCTAGTCTGTCTTTTGATTGTGTAATTGAGGCTATTAACATTCAGCATTATCTAAAAGTATGCATTAATACCTTCCATTTTGTTGTTTTCGAGGGTTTTGTACTTTTCTAATCCTTTTTTGCATAAATTCTACTTCAGTGTGTTTGATTTTATTTCCTCCATAGTTTCATAGATATGTTCATATTTCACTTCAGTGTATGAGATTCCTTCAAGGACCTTCTGTAGTGTTGACTTAGTGGTCAGGAATTCTTATAGTTTCTTTTTATCAAGGAAAGTATTGTTTTTTCTGTTTCAACAATGAAGCATGAAGGAATTCTTATAGTTTCTTTTTATCAAGGAAAGTATTGTTTTTTTCTATTTCAACAATGACGCATGCTTTAGCTTTATTGAGTATATTGCTTTAAGTTTGTAGTTATGCATACATTTATATGTCCTCCTGGCTTTTGGTTTCCCTTGAGAAATCTATTGTATTCTGAAAGGTGTGCCTTTAATATGACTTTGTGATACTTGAAATTTTTCATATTCTTTCTTCATTATGTATCCTTAGTGTTTAATGATCAGATGGCATGGGGAGAATGTTATTTTCTTGGGGGGGGTGATCTTATTTGCTCAGCATTCTAAATGCCTCCCATAGCTGAATGTTAACACTCATCTCTTTTCCAAGATTTGGGGAAATTTGTTCAGTGATTTTCTTTATATAACATCTTTTTATGCCTTTGGTTCAATTTCTTCCATCTTTTATGCCCATAATTCATAAATTTTTGTCTTTTAGTGATGACATGATACAAATTTCATGTTCTGTTTGTACTGTATTATTATTTTATCTTTATCATTATATGAGTGTTGTAGCTCATCTAAGCTGTCTTCAAGCCCTGATAATCTGCCTAGCACCTGATCCAGTCTACTAATGAGACTTAACAAAGACTTTTTAAAAAATTTAACTTATTGAACTTTGTATTTCCAAATTTTCAACTTTTTAACATTTTACATATTTAGTTTTGCTTTTAATATTTTGTATTGATACTTTTAATTCAGTTAGCTGTTTTCTCTTTGAAGGAGTTTATTCTTTCTCTGTTTGATTTTGTTGAACATTTGTTTAAGCCTTCTTTTGAATTATTTATTTAGTTTTTCATCCAATTCACTCTCATTGGAGTCTTTCATTGTGGAATTAATACTTTTTGTAGGAGCTATATTTCCTTGATTTTTTAATGCTTCCTGTATGTGTACATTTAGGCACATTGCTAGTAGGTTGGTATTTGGATTATTTTTTCTTTCTTTTTATTTTTTCAAAAATTGAAATTAAAATGAAATTATTTATTTTCTTTCTTGCAGCCTCCCTTGCCTTTCCTTAGTCCTGATCAAATTTATGACCTCTACTTCTTTGTTGCTATATATATACATGTGCACATACTCACAAACACACATATCCATGCACAAGTATTTGAATACAACTTGTTATTATCCATTTGATTTCAGGACTGACCAATAGGTATCCTATACCAATGGGGGCAGGTCATCTTGAAGACTATTTCTCTTACTTTCAGATTCCTAGACTTAACAAAGACTTAGTCACTGTCGTTTTTTAGATTAGGAATAGAATCCTGTGAAATTTCCTATTTGCATATTAGTATATCTATTGGTGGGGTAGTCTTTGATTGGAAGCATTTGCAATGCTCAAGTTGGACTGGGTTAGAGGGTTGAGGTGTTTATTCTACATGACTGTATATGGAGTTTAGTAACTAATTCCTAAACCTGTGTACTTATGGCACCAGACTCTATGTATAGTGCTTTCTGAGCACAGTAAACCTAATCAATATTTTCCTTAGGAAAATACAGTAATAATCAAGTCAAAACAGGCACACATTCAATCCCAATAGTTTTGTGGGAATTAAACAAAGATAGTGTGATCAGTAGTAACATATTCATTAATTAGGATTTGTATGGAAAGGAAATAAGCAAAGCTGGAGATAATGTCCAGGTCCTAATTATCTTGACCTTCCTCTGTAGACCCGGCTGGCCTTAAACTCAGAGAGATACACCCTCCTCCTCCTCTCAAGTGCTTGGATTAAAGGCATTTGCAACCACACCCAACCAATACTCATTTTGAATAAAAACCTTTCCTTGCCTAAGTTTGAATTTATTTTTTATTGCTACTACAATTATTTAAGAATTCCTAATCTATATGAATTTATTTGCAAGTGAGAAAAACTCCTAACAGTTACTTTCTTATCCTAACAAAAATTTAGTAGCATATTTCTAGTGATGCTAATGATACAATGAAGCTATTAACAGAAAAACACAATATACATTTTATTACTAAAGAATTCCTTCCTCATTACCACAAACTAAATGTCTCAACCTTATCAATTGTCTTTCTGAATTTCATTTGCTTAATGAGCCAGCATTTACTTTTTCAGCTACCATGTTGGGAACCCTATTGCCATAATCTTTCCTTAGCTTATTCTCCACCATCAATCAGACACTTACTCAGAGGAGTAGATGTCTAACTCACATTTCTACCCTTGTGTTCACATTTCTTCCTTTCCATTCCACAGCTGCTATCCTATTCAAGTTGTCTGAGATACTTCACATCAATTTTACTGTGGTGATTGAATGATCTCTGTTTCAGTGGTAGTCTACTTTCCTCTGTTAGAGTGAATATGGCTTGAGGAAAAACGGATGCATGGCTTGAGAAGAGAATGCCTTCAAAGTGTGGAGTCCAAACAGGAGATTTGGAAGAAGGACTATAAGATGAAGTTTTCGAGAAAACCCTGGGTCTTGCAAGCTGCAAGGGGAGTGGAGGGAGTTGAGTGACAAAGGAAGAGAAAACAAAGAAAAATAATCTCCCACTGATTTATATTAAAGTCTAGAAGTTAAGAATTACCAATGTCATCCTAAGGTGGATACAGAGCCTTACATCTGTTCTTTGTCCCCATTGATTTGTTAAAATACTGAGTGTTGCCTTTGCTTTGGGGACTGTGGGAGCTATTGCTTTTTATTGTTGGGTACTTGTGATCTGGTTGGATGATTCAGTAGAAAAGGAGGCATTTTTTTATGGGCTGGCAGACTTTTTCTCAGTCTGCAGCCCTACTCATACAGTGGTTTGCTCTGATAGGATAAGCCTAACTTCTCAGTCTGGCCAAATTCCATGGAATTAGCATGGCTCCAGGGGTTGAGGCCAACTTCAGTGGCTCTGTCTTCTCCCCAGCATTCTCCCAGGTGAGAATCTCATTGTGGTGAGGAGGCCAATCAGGTTCTGAGGCAAACTTCCAGCATCAAAGAAGCATCACATTTTGCAGCACTCATATTTTTAACCACACCATTCCCTTTTCTAGAATACCATCCTTTCCTAAGTGTCCATTTCCTATTGTATTTTAAGCTGTTTTCAAGTACAACATATAATTTATGGTGAGATTTTTTTTTGGTGGGGACACTCACCTTCTAGTATAGTTGAATTTTGGTGGGAGATATGGCTAAATGTTTCTTCATTGATAAAATCTACTAAGTATGTACATATTAATGTCTGGAATCCAGACATGTGGTCACCAGTTAGAAAATAATGAACTAGATTTTTCAGTTTTCTGTTTGTTAGAGATGACAATGTGACTGTTTGAAAGTGAAAAGGAATTCAAGCTTCTGGGTGGTATTGTGAAAGTGAATGAAAAGAGGCATGGACAGGTCTGACATTTCTTCTTCTATTCCTATTGCCAGCAAGATGGGTAACTTGAGGGCAGGATCTGGAACACCTATAATGGCTATGATACAGAAATTGTACATTGCAGGAGGCAGAGGTAACTTTTCAGGTATGTATCGCTTGTGGTTGGACTACTACTGGGAAAGGATAATCTACTCCATTAGCTCTGTTATTTTGGCATTTGTGACAGGGCATGAATTTTATATTACTGTCCTCTCAATAAACTCTTCTTGAGTGAGAGAATGAGGGCCTGTCATTGAACTTAACCTATTTTATTTTAGCATAGTTTGAAGACCTTGGAATTGCATAGTTGGCAGAAAGTTAGAATTTAGAAATACCTCTACTCTTTTCATAAGATAGTTGTTGATTTGAACATTGAAAAAGTTATAAATATACATACCAAATCAGATTTCAAATGCATGTTCCTAGATTTCATAGAATCTCATGTGATATAGCAAACTTTGGCTCACCTTCTACTGCAACCCCAAATGGAATGACCCAAGTCACACATGTATCTTTGGATGGTGAATGCTCTCTCAAACTCACCAGTCAGGGCTGCTTCTCTTAAGTGCGCATGATTTTGTGACCCTGCCATGAGGTGTTCCCATAAACAGACTTTTACTACTGATGAATACCTATCAACACACACACACACACACACACACACACACACACACACACACACACACACCATTGAAACAGCCAAAGCAAAACTTTTACTGGAATTACCTTCTCTTATGAGCTATTTCAGGTCAGGAGCTAATTACCCTTTACCCTTTGTCCTTTCCATTCACATTGGTGAAAACACACTGCTAAGCTGTTTCCTTCCCTCTAATCTAATTGAAGGCAGACATAGGGGCATCTGCATTGGTTACTCTCCCCGAGCGGGTCTCAGTATAAATAACCCTTCCATACAGGCACAGATTTTCTCTCTGCTATTTTCAAAACATTTTCCTGGAAGCCATGTTGCTTGTTTCTATACACAATAAATAGAACCCATTAATAATAAGAATCCAATACCAGTTGTCATAATTGGTAGAAAGTAATCTCACCCTTTGCAACCAAATAAACTATTCTGGAAAAAAATAAGCATGTTACTTGATTTATGATTTACTTTTTTGTGTGATGCATACTCACACTCCAAGTAATAATGTGTTTCTGGAAATTAGTTTTTAAAAATAAATTTACATAAATGTTTTTAAGTTGCCAGTAATTAAAAATAACAGAGGTCTTACCTTCACAAAAAGAAGTAGAAAGGAGGCATGATAATTGTACGTACTATACAGGTGTCTGAAATTTTACTTCATATATAGTACATAAAATTAAAATATTGATGCTTAGATGATTCGTTGAGGAAATTTGAGATACTTTAAAACTGTGAAAAGATAAAATGAAAACTTCCAGTTAAAAATAAGACTTCCCATGAAGTACATAAATATGTTATGGAACAATACTATAGATAATATATATTATTTGTATAGGAAAGCATCTTTACTCATATGTGCTTATGTACTTACAGAAGCTGTGTAAACAGAATGGACAAAATGAAGGAGATCCATGAGAACAAGAGACAGAAAATGAAGGAAAGCTGTAACATTTCATTAAATACTTCCCCTTTGTTTCTCTTTCTGAGTTTCATACATTGCTTGCAAATTTGTAAAAAGTAATTAAAACTACATACAACTTATAGCTTTGACCTCAAATTTTATTTTATGAAATATGCTGTATTCTTATTACATAAAGACCAAAATGTGTCATACACAGAAATAACAATAACATTTTACTCTTAAAAGAGAGAAAACAACTTAGATAGTCAATTGAATGCCATTAACTATAGCAAAGCTACAAATTTTAATGCTGTGCAGTCATTAAAATCAATGATTACGAAGAGTACATGAAATCATGGAACTATTTGAGCCATTCTGGTATATGACAAAGGTGGAATGCAAAATTATTTAACTAGAAATATAATAAGGCAGTTGGAAAATTAGGAAATACATTGTTAACAAAATGATGTTTTAAAAACATGATTAAAAATGAGAGATTTTGATTGCCTTCAAAACCAACCATGTGCATTTTGTAACATGACAAAAACTGTCTTGAAATATGAAGACTAGTTATGTTTTTAAAATTTTTCTAATTTTATTAATTCTATGAGAATTTTATATAACATGCTTTGATCATAGTCAGCTCCCCTCCCCCAACTCTTCCCAGATCTACCCTCTTTTAATTTCACCCTAAGTTTGTGCCCCCATCCCCCAACAATAAGACAAATTTATGTTGAGCAAATAGTCTTGAATGTATTAGACTATGCTTGACCTACAAGTAGCTATATTCCTTGAAAAAATTAAATTTCTCTCTCTCAATCGCTAACAAATGCCAGAGCTTCTCAGCTATGGATGGGACTTCATACCCAGTTCCTCCTTTCAATGATTGGATTTAATACAAGTCTTGTGCCTTAGGCTTAACACAAATCTTGTGCACACTGTAACACTCACTGTGAGTGCATATATGCAGCTTCCCTGCTGTCTTCAGAATACCCCATTTCCTGGTAGCCATCTACTGCTTCTGACGGTCAGAAGCTTCTGACCCTCCCTGAGCCCTAAGAAGAGGAAATGGAGTACATATATTCTGTTTAGGGCTGAGTTCTGAGGCAGATTTATTCTTTAGCATGCTAGAGATTAGGCATTAATATACTTTAGCCAACTTTAAACTTATCATCAAATATACCTATGAATTAATGTTCAAATGAGAAAAAAGTGGAATTTTGAACAGTCACACCTACCTCTTCTGCACACATAAGTCATTATGAGCTACTATATAAAGAGCCTCACCTTTTTCTTGTCTGAGGAGTGGGAACTTCACGTTCCTGGGGAATCTGTTTAGCAATAGTGAACTGTATCTTCCTTGCTATCAAAGACACCGTCACTCCAAACTGTTAAACATTTTTTTGTTTGGTAGTTTTTGTCTTTCTATAACATTCTTAGTGGGGCCTGCTTGCTTGTTTTCCCATTCTTTCCTGAACTTCATCTGAGACCCAGTTTCTTTCCCCATGGGTTCTCACCTCTCTCTACTTTGCATGAGAACATTTATTCTTGCTAGATGTTCTTATTCTGATGATTGACAATTCAGTGAGAATGGATGATGCTTTGGGGAATCTTGACAAGAGTTAGTCTCTGTAGCCTTGGTCTTCTCATACCTCATGGTTTCTGCCTTATGGGACTTCTAACTTGCTCTACACCCACAGAATTCAGAGTTTTTGTCTATTGGTAATATATTTTTTGCCCTGAGCATTCTTTTCTTCATAGCTATTCATTTATTTGAGTGTTTTTTGCAATGTAAGCTAGAGATGGAGTCATAGTGCCAAACAATGGGATTATAGCTCTCCACCAGGAGAACATGTCCACTTGGCTGGGGTGGAGTCATAATTCCAAACAATGGAATTAGAGATCTTCACCAGGAGAAAAGTTCCACCTGCAGATATCTCTGTTTGTGCTTCCATGAGAAAACTGTGAATGACAAGGTGATTAAATACTCAGGAATTCTATTTTTATTGCCACATCCAATTTCAGTTTATGCCAAGATGTCTAAACAATGTTCTCAGTTTAGATATGTAATTTTAATGTCAATTGTTCCTTCAAATGACTAGTATGCTTATTAAGAATCTTTTTGTACTTACAAAAGTTGCCATATTAACTTCTTTGACCCTTCACATTTTGTCATTTACAGATCTTTATTCTTTTCAGGTGTGTTAAACTATTCATATGTTAAAATATAAAGACTCATTCTGGAACTCATGCATATTATTAAGTGTTAACTAAATCAACTAAATACTTTGCTGCTCCTGGCTGATAAGCAATCATTTTGTTTATATCCAAATTAAATATTTTACTCAATGCTATCCTGACTTATCACCTAGAAAGCTCTGGATATCTGTCAAAGAAGGATTGTCTCTTTCTGCCCCTCCATGAAGGTGTAGCACAGCAAATCCTTATCTCTCACAACAGACTGGGCAAGAAGATCCTGCCAGAAACAATGTCCTTAGTTTTAATAGCACAGCATGATGCTGTCTTAATACGTGGGCTCTGCTTATTACTACTATAAGAAGTAAAAAGGCACATGTACCAGTGGATATGGTATCAATGTAAGAGACTCACAAGCTTACTTTTCAGTACATAAAGAGAAAGTACTTCTGGTTTCAATGAGCACTAAGGCTGCTTACTGTTCGCCATCCAACCCAGAGACATTCTCCATTAGTGTGATATATTCTTGATTTTTGTTTGTTTTTCTGCAAGGTTCACATTTGCAATTTGAAAGGAAGGAAAACAAATAACCAAGAACATAGTATATTATTTACATATTAGTATAAATTATGTATAAGAGATTTATGAGGAGGCAAAACCAATGAGTGGCAAGTCAATGGAAATTTGCACTTCTAGAGTCATGTAAGTACGTATGCAGTACACCTGGTTTGCTGGGTTTTTGTCTTTGTATAAAGACAAGGTAAAAGAATTTGCAAGACACAATGAAGAAATGCAAATGGAAAATAAGTTGTAGATATTTTTAAGCCTCTAGAACAGTTTTAAGGCAGAATGTTAAGCTTTTGTGTTATTCAAAACCATGTACTATTTATAAACATAATATTAGATATATGTTACCGAATTCAGTTTCTTCTACAGAAATGTGTTCCTAATGCTTGATTCAAAAGTGTTTTCAGACGCAAAGATGGAAAAGAGACTTTTTCCCTTTCAGTAAAATCATCAATATATTCAAGGTTTAACTTTCCTTTCACAAGTGTTTCTGAGTATACCATATGGCCCCAGTTAGATTTGAAGGTTTTCATTTGCTTTTTAAAAATCTGAGTGAAGTTCCCTTTCATAAGCTCATGCATACTAGTTATTTTTTAATAAGCATAGAGATTCTATATAACACCAAATGCATGATTTAACAGGAAGGAATAAAAAATACATGGCAATATAATAATAACTGAGTCACTTAATTAAGATCTCCTTTGAAGCTCAGTCATTAGGGATAGCAGTCATTAGTTTATTAGCTCAAATTGGGTTTGATGCTTTTTTCTTCTTCCAAAAGTGCTGGAATATATATCTGACCAAACCATAAAATACCTGTGCTCTTCTCAGCATCCCTAGATCTGTATCCACAGAGAGCTGCAAGCTTGTCCCTGCCCACAAAGTTAGGATGGAAAAATTAATGTACCGGAGCAAATTTGTGCCAGCATCACTCTGTGGACAGGAAGGGTGTTTGTAGCCTAACTTGGCTTCACTCAAGGGGGGGCACTAAAATTCAGTTCTTTCATTACAGCTTGCCTATGAAAATATGGCTAAAGACCACACTGTGGATGATTTGTACATTTGAATGTGCTTCCTAAAGTTTTCATTAGCAAGCCCTGTTGACTGGAATGAATGAAAAGTTTAAACCAAGACATTATCAGGCCAATATTTAGGAGATGAAAGCTAACTTTATGTGAATTGTGAGCTGCTTTTTCTTAGACCTTAAATTTTCTTGATGAAGCTGGCAGTATGCTAAACTACGCTAGACCAAATTGTTCAGCTAAATAGCTTCCTTTTAAAGTTTTAAAATCCTACATTTTTCAACTCAAATTTTTAATAGGATTCTGCTGTTCTCTGGGGCATTTACTTGTTGTTTTTCTGTACATATCCTCAGTGGAATTATTTGGAAAAGATTGCATCACTACATAAAATATATGAGCTCTAGAAAGCACAGATGCTGGGTATGCAAGGCAAAAGTATTAATATTTGATTCCTTAGTATTAGAAACAAAACTCTCTTTAGAATTACATGATTCCAAAGCTGACATTTAAAAGGATAAGTAGCTCAATGCTCACCTGATATTTATAATTTTATCCACCTGGATAGTCCACAAATATTAATTGAGCATTCTGCATCATTTGAAATTCTATGCCTGACTAACAAACTTCCATTCACATTCCTAAGAAACTGAGAGTCCACATGTAATGAGATATCTACATAGTTCTCTAAAGAGAACTACACACAGAGTCGCAGTAGCAAACACAAGCCCCTCAAAAGACAAAACATAGAGGGAACGTGGAAAGATCAGCAGGAGCTTTCCTGGCAGAGAAAGGAGAAATTCAAAGACAAAACACGACACAAAGAAAGGGCTACATACAGGTGATTTATCTTGAGGTGGACCAGTGGCATGCCAAAATGAGAAGGAAGTACAAAAACTGGAAGTTTTTCCATGTTGTTTATATGTATCTCATCTTTATCTAACGAGTCAGAGAAAGTTTTAATTACAGAAGACTGAAACGTAGATCAATAGCAGCAACACAATTAGAAGAAGTTATGGCAGTAATTTGGGTTGAAAGAAAGAAAAGTATACAAGGAATTGAAGGGGGTAGGCAAGTAGCTCAATTGGTATAGTACCATGCTCAAAACATCGAGTTTGAGCCCCATTACCAAGTTCATTAGGCACGGTGGTATACAATAGTCATCCTAGCACTTGGAATGTGGAAACAGGAAGATCAGAAGTTCAAAGTTGTTCTGGGTGCTACACAGTGAGTTTGAGGCCAGTCTGGACTACATGAACCCCTGCTTTAAAAACCAAAACTAACAACAACAAAAAAAGCAACTTACAGGAAATGCCTGAGGGTAGGTAGAGTGAGAGGAAAGAAGAGCCATGGTTAAAACTGAACAGTGGAAAGACAGGAGGGCGGAGGAGGAAAGAAATATCGACGGGAAGAAGAGTGGTATGCAAGTTTCCATCAGGCGGAATTTAAGACAGAAAAAGTTGTCAATTGCATTGAGTGTGTATGTCAAGGATGACATCACAAAACGGGTGTTAATTGTCTTTGGTTTTCTGGGGAGAAGGGTTTCATTTGACTAAGGAGCAAAATTCAGCCTATGGTGCACTGAGGAGTGAAGGGAAGTTCGATGATCAAAATGGTAAGGATTTTAAAACGCTAAGTTGGTTTATTAAACCGTAAAGTATGGTCACCGAGTGCTTTATTGTCTGGGGGAAAAAAATAAAAGTTTAAGTGTGGGAAAGAAAATGAGAAAAAAAATCCAGACATTCCACAATATTTCTAAGGTGCAAAGAATTTCTTGTCCAATTCGCTAAAAGTTTATTTAAAATTAAGAAATTGGTGATTTTCTGAGCTCTAACAATATGAGAGCTAGTGGTGAGGTCATGAGATGAGGGAAACAGAACAAAGTCAAGATGAAAGGGGGGACACTAAAGGGTTAATGACGTAAAAGAAAGAACTATAGGATAGTTGAAGGATGCTTGAGAGTTAGCATATTAGTAAGGACACTGCCAGTAGCCATGAGCTGAGCAACTCCTGATGAGAAACTCAACACTTTAATTAGAACATCTCCAGCATTTGCTGGCCTGAGACTGCAGGAAATAGACTGCAGGTCTATAGATTGAATTTTACACCTCAACCACAGTTCTCTTTTCAGCCCTGTGAAATCTTCAACTTCATTGTGCCTAGGTGTGTATGCACAGTCTCCACTCCTGTTCAGACTGTTGCCATGAAGGCAATCTGCAATTGTTGGGGCTGGCCCAGTCTTTCTTTTGTTTTCACATCTCCTCCACCTATCACGGTCTAACAGATAGAACAAGTGCTAGGGACAGAGCTAAGATGCTACTGTTTAAGATGTCTGAAGTACTTATGTTTTATTTGAGGTGAAGGTCTAGTGCCATGAACACAATTGGCCAAACTGATGTAGGAGTAAACAAATAAAACCAGAGGTATGTGAACTGAAATGCTGAGAACTGAAGTTGTAAACCTGCCTCCTAAAACAATGGGGTACCTCCTAGGCATTGTCATTAGTAGGAATCCAATAGTGAAATAGGCAAATAACTTTGATAAGAAACAAACAAAATATTAGCTGTGCTTTGAAGAGTCTACATCTGTCCAATAAAGCCTTTCTGCTTGTGGTCGATTACTTTCATGTCAAGGTTAGCATTTCTTTTGTGTTAGTACAATATTCTGAGCACTGACAACCACTCCAGTGACTTCTCAATAAATTTAAGAGGCTAAAATGTAATCTCTGGTGTTTTGGTTCAGAGTATGTATTCCCAACCTTTCAGGTTCCCAGTGGCCCAAGCTCACCCAGGAAATACAAGTAGCTTCCTTTGGTATGCATTGTCTTTTAAAGATTTTTTTCAAAGTCCCTCTTTGGAAAGAAACTTATTCTGAGACTTGATAGAAGCCAGTTGTTTATTGGGGTTGCAGTCAGCAAATGAAAAGATATTTTTATTGAAATCATTATTAGCCAGTTTTGGGCAACTGAACTCTAACTTTGAATGTGGAATCCTTAGTGCAGAGATGAACTCAATGAAACTGAGCCGTGTGACTCTCATCCTGTGCTCTGCCATCTGGGTAGTTCCAAAGGATGTGTGTCTTGTTAAGTTTGCACCAACACAGCATTTCAACCTCTAAACACAGGAAAAGCAACAAGCAGGTGGAGATCAACAAACACAACAGGGAGATTTTAAATTACTAATCAGATGGAAGAAATGTTTAGAAAGAGCAGGCAGGAAAATGGTGTGCCAACTGTTGTAGCCACAAGCCTGAGAAGGTGAGAATGGATGGCAGCCTGCCAAGGAAACCTCAGGACCTGCAAATTCAGCACACTACCACAGACAGAACTGCTGGTATGGGCAGGTCCACACCCATAGAGAAATAATGGCAAAATTTAACCAGAGATCTGTGCAAAGCTTCAGGGTTTGGCTGGTGGAGCTTCCTTGGTTGATATTCATAAGAAAACCTTGTAAGACTATTGACTGGGGGATAATGGGTTGGAGGTAGGTTGGAGAGAGCTCAGTGGTTAAGAGCACCCACTGCCATTGACAAGACAAGGTGGGTGTCTTACAACTGTCTTTTACTGTAGTCCCAGAAGATCTGTGCCATCTCTAGTCCCTGTGGATCCCAGACATAAATGCAGTGCACTTATATACAACCAGGCAAACACACACACACACATAAAATAAAGATAAATCTTTTTAAATGATGTAATGACTTGGAGAGTAGATTTTTAAATCATAAAGGTAAATGGTAGAGTCATGCTTCCTGCACTAAATAATCAGTGGCCTTGCTCAATTTCCTGAACTCTCTTAAACTACTACCTGTCATATTAAAGACAAGGAGGAAAGACAGTGTGTATGTCCACAGTTGTGAATGAACTCGAACTAGAACCTCAGGCAGTTCCTCCTATGACAGAATAGATGTTAGTAATTTTCAGGTAGCATGCTCCTGGCCATTCTTACAGAGGTGAAATGGGATTTCAGTGCAGCTTATATTTTCAGTATTCTCTTACCTGAGAATGGTGAACACTTTTTCAATTGTCTTTTGCAGTGTTTCTTTTGAGAACTGTTCCATCCATTCGGCACATCTATTGATTGGTTGATTCTTTTGATGTTTAATATTTTTAGTTATTTATGCATTGTGGCTAATACACTGTCAAATACATATGTGGCCAAGGTTTCCTCCCACTATATAGGTTGGCAGCTTTTCTCACAGTGCAATAGCTGCTGTACTCATTTGCCTTTCTCAATTTCATTTCCACCCCAGCTTAGAATAGTGATTCCTTCTTGTCTTGTCAAAAATTTGCTGCTTTTTAGGAAAATTAAGATATATCCTCTTTACTTCTTTTAGCTCTAGAACTGGAAAGAGGAGGCGTTGGTCTAAGTGTCTAATCAATTGTTATCAGGAACAAAGTTAAATATTTTATTTTGAACATGTAAGATACTAAATCCATGTTATGAAAGTAGGTAGTGATCTTGGGTGGGAGAGTGTCTATGTGAGGTAAAATCTGATTAAAAGAATCCTGTATTATAGGGATTACTGAGGAAATGTTGATGTATGGATGTCACTTAAAACCAGAGGATCAGATGAGATCATTTAAAGTATGAATATAGATTTCAAAGGGGGGGTCAAAGTCCAAGAATCAGAAGGTTCAGAATACAGATGCCAGAAAGGGGTCAGAAACTACCAAGTAATACTAGGACAAAGCAGCCTGTGATGCTTGACATCATTTTGCTGTTTAAATGAAGAGAAACAAGTATTTAAAGAAATGGAGATAGCTAGTCCCATTGAATGCTCCTGAGTAAATGAGTAAGTAAGAAAATAAAGAAAAAGTGATCGATTTGGGCAATATGGAACTCAATGAAAACACGCAGTCCTGCAGCAATAACCTTAAAGGATCAGCTTGCTAATTGCTAGAACAAGGAGGCTCTGTCTGCAAATCTATACAGTTATATATGAAAGAAAGGATATTGGGAAGACAGAATTTATGACAAAGGCAGAACGTACTTTTAAATAGAAAATGGTATGGTTAGGTTCTTATTAAACTAATCTTAAAGAAATGGAGAAATCCTTTCTGTAGAAGAAATACTGGAGATACTGGAAATGTAAGATATAGTCAGGGGAGGGAGAAGGGAATCAATAGTCCACAAGCTTCAAGATACTTCTAGAATGATTATAAAACAAAACAATTGTCCTTATGATACGCAGACCAGTACAACTGATGCTTGAGAATT